TGATCTAGAAAACACAACTATGTTACTACGTTTTTATGATGAGACTGTGCTGGTTGGAGATAGTACAGGGGTGAAGGTAAGCATTTACAAATCACATCATGAATCTAAATGCTACATGTACATGTCGTTTAGTTTTGTGCATTTATGAAATTATTATGACACAATTGGGTGCACTGTGGCACAATAAATTTACTGATTGATTGTTTTGTAAGCTTACCACTTGACTGTGGCATTGGAGAACCAATTAATATTTTATTTTTTTTTTAATTTGATTTTAGTCAATCAGTCAATTTTATTATTTCCATAGTTCCCAGAGCATTTTTTATTTGGAGCTCAATCATGGATGAATAATATTGCATAATTACCATGCTAGAGAGTAAAGCTGATAAACACATTGTTATGCAAATTAGCTATGCAGTGATGATATTTCTCTTAAAGAATATCGTATCAATTTATGGACAAGTTGGTACTATAAGTATATTTCTAAGGTGGCATGGCATGGAAGCGATACATGCATTGTAATTTGATTACCATAGCGTGGAATCTATTTTTGGTTGTTTCAGATGACGTATGACGTCATTGAGCATGGTGATCCAGTAGTAGTGGAATGTACAGCTGTATCTCATGGAGGAACCCAGTATCTTGCCATCACATCATCAGGTAAGTTTAGTTTCGTATTATTCTGTTCTATTATTCTGTCATTCCTGATTTCATCAACATCATTGCTAAATTCCTTGTGTTGTTGACCTTTTCATGGTCACCACCAGTGAAAAAAAAAGAAAAAAAGTGCAGACAAATTTGGACGAGAAAGTCTAGTGGTGAAAAGGTTAACATAATTGATTTGTTTTATTTCTGACTTTTACTCGCATTTTGAAATCGTCAATCAAAAACTATGAAACTATCATATTTTGTTTGTTTGATCCAAAATTAAATACATACTATCACTGGTACTGTAAAACCATTTATTTTCACTGCCATTTAATATCACTATTTTGATTTTTTGAACTGGGTTTCATGTTTACAAATGAGCCAGGAAAATGACGAGTCTTATTATTATTTCACATTTTCATGTGTATTTATTTTAGCAGATTTTTATTAACTGTGAAAATAGCGATCTTAAAACCCAGTAAACAAGTAATGCATTTACAGTATCTTATTGGGTTGGCAAAAAACACAGCTTTAAATACACAAGTACCTGTTTGCATCATTTCCATAACTGCTTGCAATGCATAAAGGATACACCGTGTATGCAGAACTGATGTTATTTTGTATTTGTACCTTCAGGTGACCCTGCAACATTCACCACCGATGTTGGAATGGTTCGATTGATCCCTCTAATCAATTTAGTATACAAGACGAGAATGGAGGCATACCTCGTTCTAGATGAGCCTGCCGACACTGATGTGGCTTTCACTTGCAATGTAGTTTCGGCTGCCTCAACAACAGCGGCTCGGGGTATTGCTAACAATCCTGTGTGCAATCCGATTGTATTTGAAAGACCTACGAGGGATTTCTCTGATATTTGTAAGTTATCATCGTTACCTTTATAGTGACATATTGGTAATCGTTTCACCCAATTATGTTTTAATTACATCCCCGGTCTTCATACATCTCATGAGAATTCGGAAAGTGATACAGTGAGAGAAATGAATCTTGTACATTGCCAAGATGGGGGCTGGAAATTAGAAATTCTCTACAGAACCTCTCTTTGGTAAATGTCTTACACCATAGGTATTAGATTTACCATATTTCCTAACAGCTATTACAAAAATATATTGTGTAGTCAACAAACAAACCATGTTTTAGAGTCTTAACTTAGGAAAGATCAGTCAGTGGCGTCACTGTTTCAAAGTGCATGCAAGTACCAATCAAATTGCTGATATATTGTAAAATACGTTATCTTCGCTTGGAATTAATGCCGAAGGAATAATTCAGTGAAAATAGAATCCAGCGAATATACCTTTTTTCCTATATTTTACATTCAACTTGTCAAAATCAGTGAAAATAAATTCCATACAAAACACCCAAAAAGTCTTAATAGAAAAAAAGAAAATTGTACAGGAACTTTATCTGAATGAATATTAAATATATATATTTTTTCTGGTGGGGACCAGAGAGGTAGTTCTTGCAGAACTAATCTAGTCCCTGGCCCCAGAAGTATTTTACAGTGCCAGTCTACCAGTGTGTGATATTGAAAACATGACATGGCATGTATGCTGTGTTGGCACATGTACATCATATCAGAGTTCCAATAAAAAAAAAATCTCATTTTTAGTTCATGGTTACTATAATTACACAGTATGTACAATGTCATTATGTATAGAAGTAAGGGTCATTTGAACGCTGTAATGCCAAAACTAAAGTACCAGTCTTTTTCAATTGAATTTTATAATGAATTGTAATTTATATGTACCACTATTGCTTTAATCATAATTACATTGAACAGACATTTTAAAATCTTTTTCACAATTTCTTCAGCTCCACCTTCTAATGGTACCAACGACACTTCGACTGAGGCATCGACCACTGTAGAGCAGACCACATTCAGTGCTACTGGAATGACACTCCGTTCAACCACAGCACAACCATTTCCGTTCAATGGCAGTACATCCTGGTACTTGCCAGTCAGTGAGTTTGAATTCAAAGTGAGTATGACTTGTACACACTTGAATGAGAGTGAAATTTTTTAATTAATTATACGTTTGTGATAGAAACAAATATTTAATTGTCCTCTTCTGTTCTGTATTATTTGTTCTTGTAATTATTTTATTTTGTTTTGTGACAAATAAAAGAAATAAAAACTTGCCCACACCCCCACCTCAAGTGCGCCCTCTCAAAGGTTATGAATGGGTTCATATTCATCATTTGTTGTTTGGTTGCTATACTCTGTATGTTAACATATTTGCTCTATTGGTATTAGGGCTTACCTAAATAACAGAGGCATGTTAA